CAATAAGAAACACTACCTGCCAAAAAAAAGTGAAGTTTTGTTGAAATCGGTTGAAAAATGTAGGAAATCCGATCCCATATATAAACGAACACACACATACACGCAAACAATCTGGGTTTTATAATAAGTATAACTCGATATGAGTTGTCCCCCTTTCATTCTGGCGAGAGAATCGTGTTTTATCGTGTTTTCAAATTGATTTCGTGCAAAAACAATTGTGTTTTTCGAATTTTTTGGTGCTGTCAAAACCACCGCAGGGTAATTTTACATAGTCCTGTGAAGTTTTGTTGAAATCGGTTGAAAAATGTAGGAAATCCGATCCAATATATAAACGTACAGACACACACATACACACACACACACAACCTGGGTTTTATAATAAGTAACATCCTTTCTCTTCTTTCTCAGACGTTGTTCTTTTTTCTAACCCTTAACTTCTTTTTTTTTCATCAATTGCTTCTTTTTTATTTTTCTGTTTCTTCTTCTCTCACTCATCCTGTTTCTATTTTCTCACTGTTCTTTCATTATACTTTTGCTTCTATCAGTGACACTGTTCTTTCTTATTTAAATTATTTCTTTTTCTTTTTTCATAGAAAGAAAGAAAGAAAGAAAGAAAGAAAGAAAGAAAGAAAGAAAGGCAAACGGAAAGACGATACATGCTTTTAGTTTGCTATGAATTCAGTCAAAGGTTTACGTATGCGCTGGGAGGATTTCAATAAATTTTTGAATTTTCTAACTTATTTTTATTATTTATGAAAGAAGAACAAACCAGTTTTTTGTATTTTGGGAGGAAATCACAGATTCGACTACATTTGCAGCAAAAGATATTCCTGACCAAATTCAACTGTGTGTTTTTCTTTCAGAGAAAGAAAATATAGAAGTATGTGTATTATTATTATAGGAAGCCAACAACAACAACAACAACAACAATAATAATAATAATAATAATAATTATTATTATAATATTTCCTTTAAATTTCTGGTATATACTCATTACTTTCCGCATCCCAACCAGAAATCTAAGCACAGAAAAGGCATTATGATATTTTCCACTGAGCAATTTTTGAAGAAAAACAAGACAAAATAAAAAAAATAACACCCAAGATCACACCTGTTTTACATAGATAAAGCCCTTCGTTTTGGGCTGTACTTTTGAGTACTTTTTTTTTAATATTTCTTTAAGGCATGGGCTACCAGGATTCCCTTCAATGTGTCTATCGGACCCTTTTCCAATCAATCTGAGGGTTCCAACTACAACTGGAATTATTGAACCAAGGTCTTTGTATTTTGATAGTTTTTTTAAGATCTTCAAAGATATATTGCAGTCTGCAGGGACTGCCATGTCAATGAGAAGGTACATTTTATCTTTACGATCTCTGACACAATGTCTGGGCGATTAAATTTGATTGTTCTGTCCGTGTGTTTTCTAAAGTTCCATAAAATTGTTACAGGACCTATCTCTATAACCGGGTCTGGGTGGTGTTCATACCAATTTCTTGCTGTTTCCTTTCCGTAAAAGTTTCAAAATTTTCCAATGTAGATATTGGCCCACACTATCATGCCGGGTTCTATATATTCAGCAGGTGCCAATACTGCGCAACCTGATACAAGATGGTAAATTGTTTCTGGAAATTTATTACCAGTATGTGTGCTTTGTAATTCCTAATTAAACGGTGCTGTGCAGGAATTCAGTTTAACCCTGCACTACGTAGCCATTGATGGGTCAGGTTTGTCTACATCAGCTTGTTTAGTTCGGGCAGAATATTGACCATCTTGCCATCGTTTCTGTATCTGGTCGATTGTATTTGCTTTGATTTTTTCATGTTCAGGGTTCCTCCAACCGCCCGAAATTTCCTTTTGAACTTGTTAGTTTCATTTATTACTGAGCAGATTTTCTTATTTCTTTCATGTTTTTGACACAGAGTCTCACCCAGTCTTCTCTAGTTTTCAGGTATCTTTGAAGACCGGTTGTTGTGCTTTTGTATGACAGTTCTAGTTGAACTAATCCTCTGCCTCCTTCGTATCTTCAGGCAACATGCCTTAACCAGTGGCAAGTGAGAAGCTTTATCGCTTCGACATTCATTTGTTTAATGTCAATTATAATCCAAATAAGAATATTGAAACTCTACTGCACCACAGGGACAAAGAACCTGATATTATGTTTTGTGAATTAGACTCAGTATTTAGCATCTGACGAATATGCCTGTAGTATTCGGGATATGTTGTATCCCATCTCCTTCGCTGTCTCCTAGGTACCTAGAGGTTTCTTCTTCTTCCAATTCCTTAATCTTTGTGGCAAAATCTCGATCTGTTGAGTATGTTTCTGTGATTCTCCCTTTCTTGCCCATACCGGTCATCACTAAAACATTTTTCCGCGATGATACCCTTCAACATATTGTCGTTTTTTAAAAGAGTTTAATATCATCCTTGTAGATGAGGTGATTAAACACTTTCTTTTTACTTTTTAACCGAAAAGGTGTTAAGGACAGACATAACAGGGTCTCCTCCTCAGGATCTTCAAGCAACTGTGGCTGTACCTTTGGTGGGATTTAGGTATAATATAGTTTCCATATTACCGTGTTATAAAGAAATTTTCTATTATTGTTATGGTCCGATTCCTTGTACCACGGTGATTCCAAGATAGAACCAATAAAGAATAACTCGAACACGGATGTGGAATAACACAGATATATTACAAGCGTTCAATATATACAGCCAGAGAAAAGTGTTAGTACGAACAATCAGGTTTAGTATCTGAACGCGACTCTGTTTCGGTCTGCCTCTGACTCGACTGACTGACTCGCTCGCTCTGACTGACGCTCCGGACTTCACTCCAGACTTCAACTGAACAGTATTTAGTCACCCCACCACGAGGGTATCATTTGGCACAAGGCCGGTTTAACGTGGGATCTCCGAGCCGTGGTCCCGGCAAAATTTCTTGAACCCGTATAAACGGGTTCAGGGTTCAATTTACCTCCCAAAAGAGAATCCTCCCTTCGGCGTAGCCTCGTTCAGGTTCCTCCTGCCCGAAGGCAGAGTTCAACCGATCAGCCAGTCAGATCATCAGCCGGTCGCCAACTGTTTTAGCACCCCCCCACCACGAGGGCATCATGTTTTAACGTGGGATCTCCGAGCCCGTGGGCTCGGCCAAAAAATATGCCCTTCCAACCCGTATATAACGGGTTCATCGGTTTACCTCCCGAAAGAGACTCTGACCTTCGGCGTAGCCTCGTTCGGGTTCCTCCCCGCCCGAAGGCAGAGAATTCAACCGATCAATCGGTCAGCCGGTCGTCCGACTTCGAGAACTCTCTGCTTCCTCTTGAGGCGCATATTATCGAGGAGACTTTTTTTTCAAAGCATATGAACTATCAAAGGTTTTTATAATCTATTCAAGCTCTGCTGAAATATCTACCTTTTTTTCCAAGATCATTTGATTTATTCTATTTATTTTGACCTTTGCAACCATATGAACCTCTTCAACGTCCCTTCTGTTCCAGGCGAAGAATGTTATTTTCATAGAGAAAAGAGTAAGTACATTTCGTCAGGATAGACTTGACCAATTTATAAGGTGGACAGACATATTATTGGCCTATACTTTTTTGGATCATTTGTGTCACCCATTTTTGGTCGGAGATATGTAATATCTTAAGTGATCCATTCTGGAATGTCATTGGGGTTATTAATTAGCATTGATGAAGTTTGTGCAAGAGTTTTATGGATTGATGACAGATAATAGAGTCAAAACTTTGGTACCATCTCATTTCCTAGAGATTTTCATTTGGATTTTGCCTAACATTATTCTTGGTTATATTTTTTAATTCTTGTACAGGTTTATCCTTCATTCTTTCTTATTCTATATTCCTTTGGGTTGCTTCAAATATTCTCTCCAAGTTTTTGTACTTCTTCAATAGATGGTGGTTTTTGACTTTGATAACTGCTTTTCCAGTTTCCCTGTAAAAATTCTTGATGCCTGTTTGGAATATCTTATTTCGTCGACAGAACATTTTCATTTCATCTTGTTCTCTGTGCTTTTAATTACAGTTTCTGTTTAAGTATTTCCTTGATTTGTGAAAAGTCATTTACTGCTTTAATTTTATATTTCCGCTTGATCTTCTTGCTTTTCCGTGTTGAAAGATTTGAATTTCTTGAAATATCATTTAGTACCGATAATTCACATCTGATTTCCTCAATTTCTTGCTTTAATTTTGCCTTCCAATGACGCGCTTTTTGCCTGTTGTTTAATCTTTTATTTATATTAATATTAAGTTCTTCAGTAGGTGTCAAAGCTGTTGCATATATGACAGTATTTACTTCTGTGATGTTTTCTAGTGATCTCTCCGTTAACAATGTTTGCAATTGTTGCAACCTTGGGAAGGTTACTGAATAGTATAATCACACGAAGGTGGGTAATAAACGATATTACTTAGGACAAGAACAACAGATATAAGATAAGCGGCGCGTAGAAGTAGTTAACTGCTAGAAGTGGGTCAAGTGAATTCCTCAATTAATCTTCAACTGCAGGATATCAACCAATCGCCCCACGCGGTCGGATGTGGCACAAGGACGAATTTAATGTAGGGTATCCGAGCCCCTAGGCTCGGCTAAAAATTCCCCGTAGATCCCATATAAAACAGGGTCGGGTAGCTGTTTTCCCGAGACGAGACTCTGCTTTTCGTCTGGAGATCCTCTCTGTCCGGAGGCAGAGAGTTTGACAAGCACAGGTGGAGACGAATCTCCGACTGCAGACCAACATACAGTATTTACTACTGTATTTATGTTACTGTGGACATACCCATTATTGTTCGTAGGTACGCTACAACCTCAGTGCAGCGTTATATGTCTGCACAATATGTTTATTGGATTTTTGGGAGTCGGTCTTTTTCTGACATTAGTGTGAGAGTTTGCTGATTATTTGACTGATGTGGTTTTTTCGCTTCAGTGATTGCAATTCGGTTGTTTTCAAGAAATTTTGTTCTAATGTCATTTGATTCATCAGTGAC